ACTCCTGAAAGAGTTATTACAGGGAAATGGTGTCTCCACTGAAGCTTTATTGCCAATCCATGTTTCTATATCAACCCAAAATGTTCAAAATCCAATTGTCACATGGACAGAAAGTGAGGTGAATATTACAGGCGTGTTAATTCTTCCCTGTGGTATCCGAAACAAAAAACAATATTTTTAGCTGGTTACAATTTAAAATGTTCCTGTGTAAAATGTACATACAAATTCAATTTAAGAACAAACCAACAGGACCTATCTTGTTTGTGCTGCCTGTATAGAAAATAACGTAGTTGGACATATATAAAGATAAATGTCACGCAACCGTCTTCTCCATCAAATTATGCTATATACATCTTCTGAATACTAGCTCATATTAATTCCCCAAACCACATTCTTCCACTGTAGGAAATTCTGAATTCTTCCATTTTTGAGCATATAACAATATCCTTGTCCCTTCCTGTTGTTCACATTTCCAGTACACATTTGGAACTCCCATATACATTCCAGACAACTTTTCTGGGGTCATATACCTCATTTATATGTAAAATTTATATAAAAATTAGATTGTAGCTCAATGTAAACTTCAAGGCCTTTGATCGTATTTTTTCTCATTGTTCCATTTGTATATTATGTCCAAAATTCCGAACCCATTTTCTCATAATACTCTTAACACTCCAGCATATTTTGTTCAAAAAACATAGGAATGTTTTGTCTTTCTCAAATCTTTCAAGCGACTCAGTTCATGTTCAATGAAAGCCCTATGAAAGAGACCCCTCAGAGAATATTTTATTAATGTTCCAGTATTGCAAACTCAGGATAGCGGCCTTCTTGGCTGAATCACTCCCTCTGTAATGTAGTCTTTCTTTTTCATTACACTAAGACTGCAGAGAATATTTGTTATTATTTGTTCCCATTTCAAAAAATATGATACCTAACTGTTGGGAAGGACCCTCTTAAAATAATATACCCTAAAAATTAGTCACTAATATTTTGGAATTTAACAAAGAAACAAACTGGCAAAGTTTGTTTCTACTCTGACTACAGTCAGACCCCAGTATTCATGGGGGATACATTCTGGGTGGACCTTACTTGCTTTACTTACTTAGGCGATCCCTCATTGTCCGAGTAGGATAATCATCCAGGGTGGGTCCGTAGATGACTATGGAGCCCTATTCTTGATCTGCATCGTCTCCCGCAGTGAGGGCATTGGTTTCCAGGTGGAAGGCGGTCCCGGTTGGGGTTGGCTTGATGTGGCTTCCTCTTGGCACATTTCTCTCTTTCACCCTCCATTCGTGCCTCTTCAAATTCTGCAGCACTGCTGGTCACAGCTGACCTCCAGCTGGAGCACTCAAGGGCCAGGGCTTCCCAGTTATCAGTGTCTATGCCAGAGTTTTTAAGGTTGGCTTTGAGGCCATCTTTAAATCTCTTTTCCTGCCCGCCAGCATTCCGTTTTCCATTCTTGAGTTCGGAGTAGAGCAACTGCTTTGGGAGACTCTGGTCAGGCATCCGGACAACGTGGCCAGTCCAGCGGAGTTGATGGTTGAGGACCATCGCTTCAATGCTGGTAGTCTTTGCTTCTTCCAGCACGCTGACATTTGTCTGCTTGTCTTCCCAAGAGATTTGCAGGATTTTCCAGAGGCAATGCTGATGGAATCATTCTAGGAGTTGCATGTGACGTGTATAGAGAGTCCACGTTTCGCAGACATATAGCAGGGTTGGGAGGACAATAGCTTTATAAACAAGCACCTTGGTATCCCTATGGATGTCCCGGTCCTCAAACACTCTCTGCTTCATTTGGAATGCTTCATTTGGAAAAAACGCTGTGCATGTTACACCATTAAGCTGTATCTCTGGCATTGGAGAGGGATTGGCTGGTGACTGCTGAAAGAGCACTTTGGTTTTCTCGATGTTCAATGACAGGCTGAGCTTCTCATATGCTTCTGAGAAAACGTTTAGAGTGTTATGTAGATCTTCTTCTGAATGCGCACAGATGACGTTGTCATCAGCATACTGGAGTTCTATAACAGATGTTGATGTAACCTTGGTTTTGGCTTTCAGTCTGCTGAGGTTAAATCTTTCCCCACATTAGCCAGTCTTATTTCTCATTTTAAGCTATCTCACAGGATTTATTGCAGATAAACCCCTGTTCCATTTTGAATCCCTAGGACAGTGGTTCTCAACCTGTGGGTCCCCAAATGTTTGAGCCTACAATTCCCAGAAATCAAGGTGCTATTTACACCACAGAATTATAGCACTGTGATGTCATGTTTCCATACTCTGGAATCCTGGGATATGTAGTTTAGGGGGAGGCTTTACAATTCTCAACCAGCTCTAGTCTCCTATCAGACTATACATTCTAGGACTCCATGGACCATGGACATTAAAATAGAATAACCACATTATAAGTGTGAACGACTTCTTAAGAATCTTAACTGTCAGTCCGTCTGAAGCTTCCTTACAAGACATGTTCTTGGTACCAAGGATACAAAATTAGTTTTATCATATATGGAGCTGCTTCAACAACCTGTTTTCTTGTTCTAAAATCCCCCCGAGGTAAACTTGTGCTTCTGTTGTTTCTTATAGGCCATCCCCAGTGGTGCTCACAACAACAAGTTATATAATTCTGAGTCACCTGATATTTTTTATCAGCTTCATTTTCCAGTTGATGCTTTCTTGAGCTACTTTTGAACTCAGCAAGTAGGGACAGGGACAAACAGGAAAAGATGAAAGAAACAAAGTAACAGGAATTGATTGAGACCAGCCAGTATCAAATAATGCTCTATTCTACACTGTTACCTGTAAAGGTAATTGAAGCAGGAATTGGGATAACTGTATGGATTTAATAGGCCTCAAATCACAGTTTCAGACCATGACAGAGTTACCCTTCTTATGGTCTTAATTGTAATTTCACGTGGGCCTAAGCCTCATTTCAAATGCATTCCTTAGTCAGATAACCTCAGAAAAAGAGTAATATGTCTCCTTGACAGTGAGCCTTTGACTATAAAGGAGGGATCCCTGACTCCCTTCTAACCATTGAGATATTGCCCTGGCAAAGTGGGAATCTCAGCAGAAGGGAAAAAAAGCTTGCATAGTCTTTATTGAGGTTTGCTCCTGAGCATTGGTTATCCACTTATTGCCATGTCCACACTACACTACACAAAGCAGTGAGATGCCACTTGAATTGCCATGACTCCATCCTGTACAATCCTAGTAGATCCATGTGAGGAAGCTGGAATTCTCTATTAGCACAATATAGTGCCCATTCCTACACAACAGCTGGAGGGTAATGTGGGCCCAAAATATATGGAGGACACTAGATTGTCTGGCAGCATTGTCTTTTGAGTCTAGAGTTTGCTAAATTAGACATTGGTGCATCCATTGTTCATACTGAGTTCATACTGATTGAAAGGCCCTACATCAGTGTTGTTGTAGGACCTTTCAATCCCAAATTCCAGGAATTAAATCTGGGATATCTTGTGTGTAGCATATCTAAACTATATCATTTTAACCACAAGTTTGTGCAGGTCAGTTCTGCATGTCTTTTAGAGATGGTTCACAAATCTTGCATTCTCAACTTCATCCAATATGTGGTTAACAGTTAGAAAGACTGAACCATGCAATTATTCCTTTACCTCTCCTTTGTGACATAATTGAAATTTTGGGGGATGTAATATTCTACCTATCTTCATTTTCTTCTATCTTGTGTTCACCTTATAAGCATACCTGTTCATGATGCTATACATTACCTGTTATCTATCCTTCCATACCACACAAATATAGTACTTTAAATGCCATAGCAAGATCTGTGGGAGACTTGTGGCTAGTTATTTGGTAAAGCACTACATCTCTCTGGCTGAGAATACTAAGTATTCCTCTTTAAACTACAAATCTAGAATTCCATAAAATGCCCTAAGGGCAGTTAAAGTAGAACAGTTTTCTATAATTATATAGTAAGAAAGCATCCTAAGGTTTAAAATGTATAGTACTATGAGCCCATGACTCCATTTTCATATTCTGAGAGCAGAGGAGTATTAAACAGGAGTATTATTCTGACCAATTAATAGATCCCCACAGATTGTGTAAGGCATTGTTATAAGTCTACCATGGTTACTAAGACTAGTACAACATAATTACAAGTACAAAACACAATAACCAAGCATTTTATCATAGCCACAGAATATGTTTTAAGTCACAAAACTCATAACATGCATCAAATCAGTGTAATATGGTAGTTAGCCCATGTCATTACACAGACATAGCAGTTGATGGTGACCCCTCTTGAGCTGATCTATTTCCTTATGGTATGGGGCACATCTACACTGACCATTTAATGTGGACCTTTAAACCAGGATAAGCTGGGGGATACTCCAAAAATAGATGCTCCCTTGATAAAGTCGGAAGAAGCAGTGCTGTGTATGTCACTTTGAGGTTACAGGGCAGAAATGTGCATAATAAATATATGGAGCATATTATCCAGAAATAAGCAATTCTTAAATGGAGAGGCTAAAAACATGTACCCATTTTAGAAATGGAACACATCTGAAACAAGTAAAGGTTGAAAATTGAGGTCCCCAGAGGCTAATAGCTAGGTTGCCTGGATCCACTCTATAAATAACTTCTTACTCCTGCCTTCCTGAGGTTCTTTGAATTTGACATTTGGAATTAAAGCGCAGCTCCTTGTTTTGTTTGCAGCCTCATAGTTAGGCTGCAGTGCTATTACTTCTGACTAAAGATGTGTGGGATTCTGTTTGCTGCAAAATCAGGGGTTGCCCTTATGGATATTGAAAACTTTGTGTCTTCATAGAAAAAGTGTGCAATTTGTTATTGAGAATTGCCATCTTAAATCATATATATATAAACACAGTTTTATTTTTTACAATACCACTTTTAAAATAAAAAATAATGATGCAAGTCTCTTTTAAGAATAATTATTTTTGTATCTTGATTACTTGTGTGGTTCATAATGGCGTGTTTAACTTTTCTTTTCTCTTTATTTACAGTGAGTTGAAAAAGAAATACAACATCACAGCTATTCCTAAACTTGTGATTGTTAAACAAACTGGAGAAGTCATTACTGATAAAGGAAGGAAACAGATCCGTGAAAGAGGGCTCAATTGTTTCCGAAACTGGCTTGAAGGGGCCAATGTCTTTCAGAATTTCTCTAGCTGAACTGGGAAGAAACTTGCAGAAATGATAGCTTTGCTACACCTTTCATACATTCAGAGGTCCCATTGTTACAACTACCACAAACAGAGGAAATTGCATTATTCTTGGTTTAGATTTGTTTTGCTTTAATTTGGTTTTGGCTGCAATAGTTCAACATAAGTTTCCATGATGCACTTGTCTTTCTGTTCCATATTATTGTTACTCCTATTTATATTCCACAGAAAATAACCAAAGCAGTTCAAACATTACTGAACAATTTGATAAAGATCAGCTTTGCCTCACGGAGGTTATAAAGACTGCCCTCTCAAATCTATGCAAGCTTTTTTTCCCCAAAGCAAAATATACACGTCAGGGAAAACTTTATATTTCTTGACAACACAATGTTGGTCTATAATTTTCTTATATATATGAGAGAGTACTTGCTTTATTAAACCTGTTTGTAGTTTACCTGCATGTCCCTGTCTTTTTTCATGATATACAACAGCTGAACATGGAAATATGCAGCTCTACTGAATCTTTTATTGGTGTTACCAAAATCCAGTGATTTATTTCTAGTGGGTATTATTGTTATTGTTTCCAACAGAAGCAACAAATTCCCAAAAAAGCAGCAGAAGGCTGGAAAAATAATCTCAAGAAGGGTTTGGTTGCCCCTAAGACGTGCCATAGTGAACAGACTCCTGGTTCTGCTGGCACTGGATGCATAAGTACACCTTTAGATTTTGAGCTCATGCTTTAAGAGAAATACTTGGGGCTATTTATACATTTTTCTTTTCCTGGTTTATTTGTGTTCTTATCAAGGCCTGGCGTTCTGTTATATACAGAAGTTCAACAAAAAAGGGCTCAAACTATATTCAAGTATGTAATAGATACACCAAATCTGTGCCAAGAAGGTATATCATACCATGTGTGTTTATATATTTACATTGTGCTTCGGGTGAGTCAGAAACCCCGATAAAATAATTTTTCTCTTTTATGCATCAAAATCGCTGGACTTTTTACTCATTGAGAATATTTGATTTCTTGAGAAATCCTAATATTAAAAATCCAAATATAATTCCTTTTACCACTCAAAACCAAAATCACATTTGTCAGTTTCTAGCATCTACTCCAAAATTTCTGTGAAACGTGTTCAGAATAATGCTGAAAATAATCAAACAGCTTTATCTGCAATTAACTATCAAAAAGGGGTAGAACTACTTGCCTTTCTGGAAACAGATGTAACACATATTTGAGAAAAGCACATCGATCAAACATCATTAATTCCCTCTACTCCATCAACCGTGTTCAAAATAAAAGTTCAAAATAGATCTTGGCATAATGAATGATAGCTGTGTAAAAATGAGATATTAACATTACTTCCAATTGTGTGGTTTCAATTTTCTTTTTATGCTCAAAATCCTAATCCATCCACCAATACCCAGTAAGTACAGATGTAAAGGAAGACCTTGCAATTGGAAAAAAAATCTTCCTATTTAAAGTACAACATGGGAGAACAGAAACGGTAGTTCTAAATCCAAGAACTATTTGTTCTATTTCATTCATAAGGTTTTCCCACTGTGCCTGCTGAAATTACATAAACTACAATTCCCATCCTCAAAGCTATTCATGGAAAGCTTAGCATGGGGTTGGAGAACCTTTCACTTTCCACATGCTTTGAGTTACTGCTCTAATTCTTGAAACTGGTTGTGCTGTATTTTCTGGGGCTTCTGGAAATTGAATTTCAAAATATCCAATGAGACAAAGCCCACTTACTCCAGCCTACAAGACATACCAACAAGAAATGAAAATAATAACCATTCTCTCTCTTAAATATGAACAGAACAGTGGCAGAAAAGATTAGGAAGAAGAAAACTTAAGACAGATGTCAATAGGAATGAAGGGATAAAGGAATTATACTGTTTGTATGGAATTATGAAAAGTAAATGAAAACAATTCTTGTGTTTTTATTTCATTTCCCCCATTTTTTCAAGAGACAAACAGCTGTATGTTCAGCTCCCAAAAAGCCAGTTCCTAATGAACATAGGATTCTTCCTTTCATTGCCCACAAAATTTAACCATCTGGATGATATGATACATTTTGCTATATTCAATAAAACCTTATATATCAAACATTGACAGCAATTAAAAATATCTAGGGTTCCATAAAGGAAAGTGCATTTAATGCAAATAGTTTTTGTTAGTTATGTTCCTCATAGCTTTCCTTTTTTTTAAAAAAAAAGACTGGGGCAAATAATTAGCAGGTAGCATTCTGTCCTCTCCTTCTTTATTGGTTATATATTTGGAATTATTTTTCTATCAATTTTCAAGGGATTTGATCCTTATATTGCAACCTCCACCCACATGAAACAAATGAAACCAAGTATATATTTTATCTTTCTAGTACAAAATGTTTACTAAAGGGCTATGGGAAGGGGGAGGATCACATCCACACCCATTATTGCCACCAGTCTCCTGCTAGCCATAATGGATAGGTCCAAACTTCTGCTGCCTAAGTCGTAGGAAAAGGTGGTGTCCTATTCCTCCTCCAGAATATGAGGCTGATGGGTGAATGTTCACAGGGCAGCCACATTATTATGAGAAAGGCATGGTAGCAGTGATATAATCCTTTATCCTTCCTTCATCTCCTGGGATGCTGTGTGAGTGTTGAAGATGCAGGCCCATCTTCAGGAGGTGGACATGTTGGCAGCAGTGATGATTTGCCCTCCTACTCACCTAAAAATTGGCTCCTGTATGAACATGCACATAGCCCGTTTTTGGGAAGGTGACTGTCCCCATGGAGCCTGACAGCCAGGGGTGCCTTCATGCTCACTGCAAACTAGGATGCCCTGGCTCCATTGAACAGTATTTACAGGTTTTCTACTTCCGTGTGGTTCCTTCACTCATAATTTCTGGGAGTGTGGAGAGTGGACTGTAAAAAGTAAATAGTTTTTTGGAAGGCAAAGTTACTTTATAAAAATTGAAGTTGTAGTGGTGACTAACTTCCCTTGGAACTGTATGTACTTACCTACCATTTAAAGCAATGGTTCCCAACTTTTGGTCCTCAAACATCATTCATTCCCTCATGGCCCCCAGGAATCGTTGTAAAGCATGTGTGTAATATATGTATGTGTGTGTGTGTATGTTTCTTCACATAAGCATTCAGAAAAAATATTAGTAGCTACCTCACAACAACATCTTCTATGTATGCACTCTATAAACATTTCCAAACTGTTCTGGAGATGGTTCTTTTGTTCTGAACAGTTTATCAAATCAGATAATATGGTTGCAGGGTGTGAAAAACTAATAAATCAGAACTTCAGGTTGTTTACTTCAGATGATCTGTCACTTTAAACAAGGAATGCAATTAACAGTTGTAAATCAAGCAGGAAACTCCTTTTCTCTCCTTTTCTTTTAAATCATAAAATAGAATCAAGCAGTGGGGATGGGGTGTGTGTGTGATTTGTTGCCTTCCAGGGATAGCAATTTGGGTCTTTGACTTCAGTATGAGAATAGATAATTTCCAAAATAAAATGGCACTATCTCTTTTTAGCCACACAACTTCCCCAGATCTTTGAAATAGAGCATCTGCATTTAAGTGCACTTTGTGGTTTGTCTGATTTCCATCTGTGGTTCTTAATTGAGGGAGAAATACACACACCTAAAATCCTAGAGTGCATCTACACTGTAGAATGGGATCCTGGGATTTGTAGTTGGGTGAGGCACCAGCACTCTGACAGAGAACGCTAAAGGCTTTGTGAAACTACAGCTCCCATAACTCCATAGGATTAAGCCATGACAGCGAATGTGGGGTCAAAACTGCATTAATTCTACAGTGCACATGCACTTTAAATGATATAAAAATGTCTTATTTGGTTTTCCTGTTTTTCTGTGAATTTTCTTTTTTCATAAAGTAGAAGAAAGGGAAGGGGGCTAGCAGTTAGACGAAGAACGGGGCAAGAGGCAAAGGGAAGACAAAAGAGACCGAATGCCTTCCTACCTTGTAGTCCATCTCTCCATATTGTGCATTTTCTAGATCTACAAAACAATACAATAAAACAATGCAATAAATCCATTGCACAGCACTTTTCCCTAGCGTACACTTGTTATTCTGGAAGTGACTAATAAGGAAGTCTCACTGGCAAACTGCATAGCCTTCCAATGTATCATAGTATTTTCAAGAGACATTATATCATATCTTCTCATAAATATGCACAAATCCTTGTCGTATATGTTGGTACCTGATTAGCATCTCATAGCTGAAAGGATGGTGAAGTAATCTTTATTATGCTGGAATCTTAAATTGCTAGAAACACTCTTGGGACCTCTGAGCATGTCATTTGAGGAGACATAAAACACAAGACTAAGAAAAAATGGTTGGCTTAGAAAAATTGTTTTAAAAAAGTGATTTTGTTGAAGAAGCATCTGTCATTAAATGCATTTGATCCCTCTTTCTTTACATTTGTGTGGACATAAATCTTAACCAATTCTTTAGAAGTTAGAGCCAGCTGATATAGTCCTTGTCAGAGGAGTAGTCATTCTATTCCAGATTTCAGTTTGAACTTTAAAAGTACCATCCAAGGCACTAAACCCTATCCTCAAAATTATAAATGACTGTTTGCTCACTAATGGGTCTATGGTCTATGGTAAATATTGTTGTTGCTATCCTCAAAATAGCTTCAATATCTTGGATAGCTCATTTGAAGTTTGGATTAAACCCCAAACTGGATTCCACTAACAAGGATGCTGTCAGCTGCCACTGCAAAGTACAGGGTCCAACTAATCCAACATTTCCCTCTGCTGTCTTTCTTCAGGGGGAATATTCATGCATGTAACTAAGTGAGGAACAATCTTCATCTCTTTATTGTCAAACCTCCAAGGAGTAATTCACATTTACAGTCTACAAGCTGTGCAGCTGGTAAAGAAAAGGCCCTTACAAGATTTCTCTCCCTCTCGCTCTGCGTGTGAGAGAGACACACACAAACAAACATACACAGACTGTCTCACAGATACCAATCTCCAGAGGTTTAATTGATGTGGATGCAGCCTCTGGTTAGCAGCAGCCATCTGTGCTTTGGGAACAAAAGGCTCATATTTCTCCTGTTAAAGCTCATACCTGATATTGTTGATCAGAGGCATTGCAATCAGATATGCAGTGTTACCAAATAAAATACCTACCCGTATGAAAACAAGAGGTTATTTATGCTACAAATCTGAAAACTGAGTCAATAAATCAACTGATCATAAACAATATGCAAGGAACAGAAGATTTAAGGTATAGAAGGAAGATGGGTTGCTGCGAGTTTTTGAGACTGTATGCCCATGTTCCAGAAGCATTCTCTCCTGACATTTCACCCACATCTATGACATGCATTCTCAGAGGTTGTGAGGTCTGTTGGAAACTAGGCAAGTGAGGTATATCTATGGAATGTCCAAGGTGAGAATTCTGTCTGAATGGTTAATATCTGTGG